TTTGATAAAAATTAATTAAAAAATAAAAAAGTTTTATTAGTAACATATTTTAATTTACTATATAAAAATTCATTATACCATCTAGATCATATGAAAAATGATCTACATACACCCTATTCTTAATTAAACTATAAATAAAACCTTCATCGTTGGCAAAAAAAATAGACTGATATATATCGATTACTAACTAGAGTAGATATATATCGATACTAATCACTTCTGCTGATTTCTATTGATTGTAATTACAATCGATATATATCTACTCTAGTTAGTAATCAATATATATCTGATTTGATAGTAATCAAAATATATTCATTTAATAGTAATTAATATAATTCAATAGTAATCATATAGTAACCAATATTATATAATTATTTAAAAACTTATTTAATAGCAATTTTATTTAAATAAAAAACCATCAGAATAAAATTTATTAAAAGCAATTATTATTTTTGTAATACAAAGCAATATAAATAAAAAATATACATTAAAAAACTACTTTTAATAATAATAAAAAAGAATGTATAATATTGATATTAATAGGCCTCAAATAATTCATTCTGCTTTTTTTGCAAAAGCATCTTTGAGAAAACTCTAGAAAAAGACTTATGTTTGAGTGAGGTTTGTTTTGATTGTTTACTATCATATGAACATATTGCAAGCTTATTATTTATAATTGATTTTGCAGAATCATAACTGGGCCCACCTTGTTCAAAATCACTCTATTTAAATGATAAATATTAATATCATATTCATTATAAATGATGAATTACTAATACTTACTAAATATTTTTTAATGCAGCACATAATTTGATCCTTCTTATACAAAACATTTTTGGACCATAGATTTAGTAAGATATCACATACTGCCAATGTAAATGCACAATAGTAGTTGGTTAAATCTGGAATAATGGCTATGCTAAAGACTGTTTTTGCAATAATGCTGACCCAAAAAAAACTTTCACTATTCTGCTTAAAAAGAGCACAATAGCATTTATGAACTTGTTGACTTTGCTTTCACTTGACTATGTTACCAGAGGCTGCATTACTTTTAAGTAGGAGTAGCTTTTTATGACTAAAAACCTTCCAGACAGAAGAGCAGACATTTTGCAATGCTTAACTATGATAGTTCTTTATTTTTTATAAGAGCTATTAAGAAGAAATACGATATATTGTTATAAAGAGTAATTAAATAAAAAATTATAACTAATGATAGTTAAATGCAAATATGTAAATATATAAACATACATATCTGACTACACCAGCCATTATGAAACCTATTAGTGAACTCATTTTCACTTATGCTTAACATGAATTTGGAAAAGTTTTCATTTAGATAATTTTTAAAGGTTTTCTTTAATATATTTTGAGTAGAATAGACATGCTATGAAAAAAGATGTTTTACAATGCCAGTATATACTTTTTACAAAATAATTAAAATAAATATCTTAAGTATACATTTTATATACTCCATATTTCTGTTATATTAAGACCTCAAAAAATAATTAATAAAATATTCAGATGTTGGTCTAACAAGACATTTTTATATTAAGTATATAATAAAACATCCAGATGTTAGTCTAATAAGGTATTTTTATATTAAATATATAAACTCAAAATATTATTACAGCTAGATGCTAGTATATCCTGATGTCGATATAACCAAAGCAGCATGTATTAATAGAACACTTATGTTCAGCACTTTCACAGAAAGATTCTTTTCTTGATTCACCTTTTTGCATCTCAGTTTATCCTTAACTTCATAAATATCATTGCTTAATTTTCTGACCATAAGATATAGCTGCTGGTTTTGTTGAAAAAATCGATCATAAATTTGGAGCAAGAACCAGAATGCTCTTAGAAGCAAAAACATTGATATTGACCTATTTGGACCATCATTATTGATCTACTAAAAAATTTGTATATCATTATTGACCAGAACTGCAATAATAATAAATAAATAATAAAAAAAAAAAAACTGTATTGTGATACAATATTGTTGTTATTTAAGCCTTTTAATTGATACTTTAAAATGAATATTAAAACTATCACTATAATTTATTTATATATTTTAATGTAATCAGCTTTACAAGCTAGCCATTTATTTTATCTTATTTTTTTCTTCTATCAAACCATGTAAACAACTTTTTTGTATTCAATTCTATATTATTATTTAAATAGATATTTTTCTTAATACAGACTTTTACAAATTCTGTCTTTTTCAATCAGCTTGTTTTTCCGAAAAAAGGTTTTTAAGTTCACATCATATAGTAACTTTAGATGAAGATGAGTTGATAATTTTATTACTCTGCTTTAAACCATTTAAAACATAGTTAATATTTTGCTAATTCAGAATTATTATGTAATTTATTTAGACTTACTTGTTTGTTAGAATTATGTCTATAGCTTCTAATTGTTGTAGTCCTTCATTTCTGAACTTATGATGGCAATGGACTTAAAACTGATACTTCTGCATTTGTAGCATTAATTAGAGAGGCTTTGTTGGTTTCTTTGATAGCAACATTATCAATTTCATCAATTCTTTTAACTTCAACTTGCTCCAGGTCTGCTGCTATTAATAACTTTGTTTAATCATTAACTAACATTAAGTTTTTATTATCAACATTATTTTTAAAATTTATAAAATAAGTAATTAGCAACTATATATTGTTAATCAAATACATTTTATATAAAAATAGATTTACAATACTTGCCTTCTTATTATTATTAGTTGTTAATTCATTTAAAAAATAACTAGGCTTTCTTGGCTTAGCACTAAGTATCTTAGGAGTTCCTACATTTGATGTTCTTCACTCAGGTAGTTCAATAGAACAGAATAAGTCCTTTTTTATAGTTTTATATTTGTATGAAAAAAATATATCATTGCCTTGCAATAAGAAAATCTGAAGGATTTCTTCAAATTGGTGCTGCATGTTTCTTTTTGCAGAAATATTTTACAAGGTCATTTTTTATTGCATTTAGAGTAGTCTTATCATTTTCTATATCATTAAATAGGCATGCTGCATGTACATGCTTGCACACATCATAGAAAGATCTGTTTTACACAAAGTCAAAAAATGTGCACTCTTCTGTAGAAATATTAATGATATAGTGATCATTTAATTGTATAACTGGATGCTTAGAAATAAGTTTATTTAATAGTAGCTGAAGTAATTGATATGATTCATTATTAAGATTAATATATTTTATAGTATATAGAGAGCAAAACTTATTATTTCCTTTTTTAACATAGAAATATAAGTCATTTTCACTAACTACAGGTTTTACTAAATAAAGTAAAACACACAGTCATCCCTGATTTAAACATTATTTTATATCTGCAGATTGTTTAAATGATAATGCTTGATGTTTTATAATACGTGCATTTTAATAAGTTACTTGACCAGCTTCAAATATAAATTGTGAAGAATTTTTCTGAATAATATTATCTCATATTAGTCTAATCTCATATATTCTTTCGATGAAGTTATTAATTGGTTGGGTGCCTACACGTCTGCCTTTAATTGATTTGTTCATTCATTCTGTAAGATTATTTGTAGTCATAGGTTTTATACCTGGGCAATCATTTACAGAAGGCAACTAACTATCATCGATAAAACAATCAATCCATTCTTTAAATAACTAATTAGCAAATATATCATTGCACAAACATTCTTTAGTAATTTCTGGAAGTGGTAGAGTTCTAATAAATAATTCATAAGCATGACCAAGCTCTATAACTTCCTCTTTACTTTTGCTTCTATCTACAACTTTAAATGCAATAGCAATTGGATATCGATAATAATCAGCAATTCTTAAATCTTTAAGACATTCTCTAAGTGTTTGCATAATATAAAACCAACATAAAATTAATCCACAAAGAATGGGTTAAAGCCTCCTGCTTTGTTGGACAGTGTTTATTAATTATTGCATATGGGTGCCACTCTTGTGCACAATGATGAATTCTCATAAATCTTTTACCATTTGTCAGTTCTATATACTGATACTCATATGTACAATTAGTACTATTACAAGGAATATTTCATTTTACTGCTTCTACAGCAAGTCTAATTGTATGATTATTTTCTTTATTTGATACTTTGAATGCAATTGGTGTCTCATATCCTGTATAGTTTTCAACAACAAGAAACAATACTGGTGCACTATTACTATTCAAGTCATATTTTCTGTCAACTCCAAAGCAAAATAATTTAAAATCACGTGCTTGCTAAAGCCACAAATCATCACTCATAGTAAGTTGATAATAATGTTCTGAACTATCTTCATTCACATTAATGTCTGGCTATTGATAATACAAAATAATATCCTTTTTTTTTAATACATCAGTTACTAACTCGTGCACTATTGTCCATAGTTCTGTATTTTTTCTTATATATAAGTCATCTCTCTTAAGAAGTTGGTAAAGTTTGACATCATCACACATGAACCTTTGATTGTTATATAACTTTTGTAGTTCATTTGGTAAAGCATCATTATGAGATGCAAGAAGCTTCATTTTAACTTCTTTGGTTGTGTTTTTGTAAGCTTAATGATTTAAAATTGCCAAATCATATGCCTCTTGACTTAGATTAATTCTAGATATTGCTTGTTCATGTATAATATTTTGTGGAACATGATTACTACTAATAATCATACATATAGGTAAGTCTGTATCTACTTCAGAAAGCATAACTTCAGTAGTTATTCATATGCTACATTTATGCATATCAAGAGGATTCTTAAGGTTGTAATTAGTGTAATGATTGCATGTTTCAATACATAATCCAAGTCTACCACAAAGCCTTTAACAACTACTTTCACTAGAACAAAACCAAGTCTATCGCCAAACTTGAAGATCTTTTTCTTTTCTTATATTAATTTGCTGAACTTAGTTTTTTCTACTGTTAGTTAATTGTAAGACATCATCAAGACGATTTGTAAATTTACATTGACCTTTTACAGTTTCCTAACTAATATAATCAGCTGAACTTTCTACATACTGAATTATTACAAGTTCCTGTTTCACTGCATTATTTACTCTCTTCCTGCTTTGAATCTTATAATGAATACCATATAAGATAGAGAGTAAATTAAGATATTGTTCAACTGCCTGTCCGAATAGCAAATGAATAACACTATTATTATCAATATAAATAAAGCCAGTGGTCATTTTGTGTATAAATTAAATTTACAAGATTACAGTGATATTTTTATTTAATAAAATAAAGGTTTAAATTTAACTGCAATACAATAATATTACAATAGAGCAAAGTCAAAAGAATATTTTAGCTTGGAAAAAAATTGGCTTTTATATTTTGATTACTAATTCAATTAGCTTTACTAAGTCTAATTTTACAAACATTATACTTCAAACTTCGATTGAAAGATATTAACTTTTAATTAACCTTTAATTACATCAAAATCACATAGTTATATGATCACAGTTTTCAAAATTCATAATTTGAAACTAATAAATTACTTTGTTAATACAAAATAATGAACATATATTTTATTTTAGCTAAAGAGGGTTCAATGAGTGAAAGTACTTTATTTTAGCTAAGTGGGATTCAATGAGCAAAGTATTAAAAATTCTATAGTGTGGATGTTATTAAAACATCATACAAAGTCAACAACAATGGATTAAAATTTTTTTAATAGATCAATAATGATATACAAATTTTTTGATAGATCAATAATAATGGTTCAAATAGGTTAATATCAATGTTTTTGCCTCTTAGAATTTCATTTAAAAAAAAAAAAGCAAGAAAAAAAAAATATTTAAGGTTCAGATATCTGTAAATTTAGAAAAAAATAATTTGATTCATATATCATGATCATTTTGTGGTTAATTCTGATTGGTTATTTGTCAATCATATAATTGTGATCTGAATTGTGACTCTTAATGCAGGGGTGATAATGATCTATTTTGTTCGACAGAAAGAAATAAATAACATGAATGTAAGCCAGAAGGTGATGGTTGTTGAGAATGTCATGAGAGAGATGATTGTTGGGATTGGTTGGCTTAACATGATTGAATTTGGTTTTTACCTTTTCTACTTATTTTGAAAAATATTCCTTGTGCACTTATAATACTTTTGACTAATGAATCTAAAGCTAAAGAATTATTATCACAAGTATTGCATAGTTGGTGTGGGTCAGTAATATTTTGAGATGAATAAGAAGTAATCAATTAGAATCGAGTTGTATTAACAGATATAGCAGGATAAGAAAAAAGTAAGTTATTAGATAAATTGTTAATAGAAGGTAAATTGTTGATAGAAGGTAAATTGTTATTAGAAGGCAAATTATTAATAAAAGGTGAAGTGTTTACAGAAGGTAATTCATTGTTGGAAGTGTTATTAGTAAGAGTGTTATTAAAGTTGTTGTTGGAAGTGTTACCAGTAAAAGCACTATTAAAGTTGTTGTTGGAAGTATTATTAGTAGTTGCATTATTAAAGATGTTGTTGAAAGTATTATTAATAGAAGCATATTAGAATCATTTATTTCAAAAAAAATTTTGAAAAAAAACCAAAAAATTTCTTTACTTTTTTAAATGCAAGAGCAGTTATTTTATGTTATTTAAGAATTAAATAATAAGAATTAATATATGATAATGGCACATCGGTTTTCTGTGCCAGGTTATGCTGATCATGTGGCGTTCCACATGCCACAGTGTTTGTGTAACATTTGATTAGCCAATTAAAAATTCAATTTTTATATTGCAATAATTGTATATACACAGAGCAAAATATTTGGGGCATATTATATAAACCAAATATTTTATAAAATTATATATATATATATTTGTTATATCGAGGGATATTATTTGCAAACTGAACGTTTATAAAATTATATATAAATTCACTATATTAAAAGAATTTTGATGTAACAAAATATAAACATAACGAAACAAAACCTTCAGACCAGAGCTTCATTATATTGAAGTTATACAATATACAACTATCGAAATATCATATAATATAAAGCTTTTTTTTAATTAAATAAATGCAAAATAGACTGCTAGTACTTAATTATAATTTATGTAAAAATTTGAAGTTTTTGAAACTAACCTAACAAAGTTACAAGAATCAATTAGTTGATTTTGCATAAACTTAAGATATTAATATATTTGATTCAGCATTTTATTTGTTAAACTAAATTATAATAAAATCTAATTTTACATATTAGTTTAATATGTTATTTGAAACATTTTTGCTTAAATTATGTTCCTTTTTACTCGTATTTCTTACTTTGCGCCTAGGAATATTATGTGAATCATTTTCATTATTAATTTTTGAATACTTTCGTTTGACACTTGTGCCTTTTGATTTCCTTCACTTTATAGATTCAACTTGGACAGGGATTCTTTTACCACTTTTAACACATGCTAACGGGTCCAAATTACAATTGAGATCATATAAAAAAGTAGTTAATCATGGAATTGATAGTGATTTTGCAGTTTTATATCATTTGGCAAATTTATTCAATGCTATACATAATTGAGGGTTCTGTTTTTCATAATCTTCCTTAACCTCTAGCAAGAAATTAATAAATGAATTATTTGTTAGCATTCTGATTCTACAATTTTTTGTGAATCATCATCTTGGTACTCTAATTCTTTAATGTCAAGTGAATTATTTGCTTGATGGTTCAATTTGTCTATTTCAAGCGAATCATCTGCTTGATATTCTGACTCTCTAAATTCCAACAAATTATCTGACTAGTGTCCTGATTCTTCAATCTTGGGTAAATTAACATCTTGATTCTCTAATTCTTTAGCCAAATTACTTGACTGGTGTCTCGATTCTTCAATTTTGAGTGAATTATTTAATTTGTGTTCCAATTCTTTAATTTTTTTACTATGTCTAAATAATTCATTAGTATGTAAATTAACTTCATTAAATAGTAATACAAATTTAAAGTAAATATATACGCAGCATTAGTGCTCATTAAACCTGTATTTTTTGATGTAGATATTTGTCTGTTTGTACCTTCAGTTATAGTAGGTTTTGAATGTAACGATGCAAAAAAAGAGTCATCCATCGTATTTAAACCTTTTAAATTAAAAAGTTGTTAAATTAATAAATAATAAAAGGTTATAAATGATTTTTTTTAATACTATTTGCAATGTAAGAATAGATTTTGTGATCGCTAGCTGTTATTAAAGATAAAAAATTTATTGTCCTAATATGGTACTTTGCTGCTACTGCACCTTGATGTTTACAAGATGCCCCTGACATTCCGATTGGACAGCTGCAGGTTCCAATTGTACTATTAATTATATAAGAAAAATCTGATTTCTCACTTGAAACCTGATATTCATCTTTATTTAATTGTTATATTAAATTGGTATTGATATTCTCCTAGCCTGGGCAAAAAAATCTTTTGGCAATTGTTATATGACCTGCATAATTATGCAAAAACCCCAATAACTGACGCTCATAAAATCTTTCCATATTTTTTATAACAAACTGAAAAACCTGAACAGGATTAAATGCCTGGGTTCTAGCGAAAATTATATCCTTGAGTAACCCAAAGCTATGCTTAATATAATTATTAGTATGGTTGCCATGTAAGAGAATATTAGACTGAAATGAGTGTGCCCAGTACTGTCGATAGCTTTAAAGAATTTCAAAATGTTTCATAAGTAATGGATATTGTTGATAAAAATTATTTTTTAATTCTTGATATTTAATATTAATTTCAGTTTCAGTTTGTGCATAAAGGATTTTTTTAATATAATTCATAATCAATATTCTGTGTTCCTTGTTAATATTGTGTTTAGAATTATAAAGCCAGTGCCAAAACGCTTGAAGAAAATGAAAGGTACATAAAAATTGATTTGACTGTGGCCAACAGAGTTCTAATGTGTTTCATTCTGCAGCAAAATCATCTGTTAAAAAGGTTTGTGGTCCAGTATTATAGCCATGGCCAAAAAATGCATGCTTTGGTAAAATAGTTTTTAAAAGGTTTATTGCCCTTTCTATAATGATTTCTGACTCATCAGATGTTATAAATAAACCTAAAGGTAAAGCACTTGCAATGCAACTAGTATAAAAAAGTATGATCGAAGTGTTTAGTAGTTCAAATAATGCAGATGCATCAACGTAACAAATTTCGCCTGCTTGCATAATTTGTTCATATATCTGACTTATTAATCCTGTGACAATACAAAGAATGAATGCCTTTCTGCTTTGGGAATCATACTCTTGAAAAACCGCTTGACCATAACTAGAAGCATTATATCTTACCACTTTTTTATTTAGACGTTGAAACATTAACATTCCATTTTTCTTATCAAGTTGAGAATTACGATAATGAGTAAAAAGGTTTTTAACATAATTATAATCTGGGTTAAGAGAGTGATCAGCAAGAGTTTTAAAAAGTTCTTCATTCGATAAAATAGAAATATGAAATTCGTCTTGGTAGGTATATAGTGCAGTTGCTGGTGAATGACTATTATGAAATAATTGCATATATTTAGCACATGTTTTTTCTTGAACACATCGAAAACTA